TGAGATAATATTATACAATAAACATCACCAATTATATATCACCCAAAGAATCAAAGAATCAAAGTAATTTTTTTTTCTAAGAATCAAAGAATCTTGTAGCACACACCTTTATTTTATTTATTTATTAAATTATAAGTGTAGATAAGGCTTTTCATACTTTTAAGATTTTATATTGAGAGCCTGGCTGGGAAGTTGATTTCAGGTTAAATTAGTCACTGAATAACAAAAGAGGCTTATTTAGTTACTAAAGGACAAAAGCTTCACAGCTGCTTGGCAAGTTCCAACGCTAAGCTAAATTTATGAAACTACCCACATGAAAGAGGGGTATGCGGCAGCACACACAAAAAAATAAAAAAAATTTCCCAAAAAACACATTTTTTCAGAAAAAACAAAGAAAGTTGAAAAAAAAAAATTAAACACATTTTTTTGTTTTTTGTTAAAATATTTTATAAAAATAAATTCAAACTCTATTTTATAAAAATAGTTTTAAATATTTTAATTTTTTTGTTATGTATTTGGTTATGATTTGAGTGTAGAGTTGTGAAAGTAGTATGAAGTTTCAAATTATGTGTTTAGTTATGAGTTTTAAAAATAATTTATTACTTGAGTTTTATTTTATGTGTTTGGTTACGATTTGAGTTTAGAATTGTTTTTAAATTTAAAATAGTAACATTTTAAATTATTTAAAATTTTTGAATATTTAAATTATTTAAATTTTTTTGTTAAAATATTTTTTTGAATATTTAAATTATTTAAATTTTTACAATTTAAATTTTTTGAATATTTATTTTAATTTTTTACTTATTAAATTTTTTAGATTATCTAAATTATTTAAATATTTATGATTTAAATTTTTTGAATATTTATTTTGAAAAAAAAAATATTTCCTTTGTAGTATTTTCAATTAAAAAATTGATTAATGTTATTTTTTGTTAATAATAAATTTTTTTAATTGAATTTTAAAAAGAGTTTGGTTATGAGTGTTGATCAAAATTTTCAATAATATGAAAGTAATGTGTTTTGTTATGAGTTATAGCAATTTGAATTAAGTTTTGAAAACTCTTTTCAAAACTCATAACCAAACAAATTTTCTTACTTCACATGTCAAATCAAACTTTCAAAACTCAATTCTACACTCAATTCCACACTCAATTCAACACTTTATTCAAAAACTATAACCAAACAAATTTTCTACACTCAAATCATAATTCTAAAACACACAAACTCAAAATACAACTCATATTCTCAAATCATAGTTACAAAGCTCTACCAAACGGAGCCTTAATT